TTTCTAAAAAGATCATTGCTAAGATCAGTTAAGTGAATCATGCAGTCATTAAGAAAATCTGGCTTTTCCATTGACTTTGTCAGAAGCTGGCTAGGTAGGTTACAAAAGGTAATCATATGACCCTGGGACAATGCAACTATCATAAATATATCCCAGGTGCTAAGCACCTGAATTTTACCACATGATCATGGGGATGCTGCAAGAGTTCTGAGTGTGAAAAACAGTCATGTCACTTTTTCCAGTGCCACTGTAACTTTGAAAACAATTGGGTGTTAAGTCAAGGATTACCTGTAGCTGTCCATTTGCACATAACTTTACAGAATAGAAACTGGAATTGCTAATATTAGCTTGTGCATCTTTTGGGAACAAGATGGTACTCTACTAGCCATAGTACCCCATTAAGACAATCCTGTATTTAATAACACTTGAGATACAGTATATGAATGGCAGGATACAAGCTCTCTCCCATCCTTACTAAAGGAAGTCCCTTCTTTTTTCTCAGATGCAAGCAGGAATACACTCAGGCATTTCCTCATTCTCCTTAGCCAGTACAACTACCTGCCACTCTGAAAACTACAGAAAGGATAGATGCATGTATGTAGAAAGTAACAGGCCATAGAATGGCTGCATTCATTTGCTCTGCTAATCTGCATCTAGATGATAAAACTCATAAACCGAGTATAAAAATCTACAAACACTGCTCCCTCTCGCTTTCTTAAATCAAAGTTTTCTCAAAAGCTCCGGTTCTATGACTATTCAACCCCATTTTCTAGGTTCTCATGAGCACTAAGTGAAACAGAAGGCATGGGCTTGTCTTTGGAAAAACTGCAGAGCAACTAAGATGACTAAAGGCTTGGAGACTAAAACATATGAACAACTGTTGCAGGATTTGGGTTTGGCTAATATACAAAAAAGGAGGACTAGGGTGACATGATAGCAGTATTCCAATAATTGAGAGGCTGCCACAAAGAGGAGGGGGTCAATTTACTTTCCAAAGCACCAGAAAGCAGGACAAGAAACAATGGTTGGAAGCAACCTGGAATTAAGGAGAAACTTCCTAACAGTGAGGATAATTAACCAGTGGACCAGCTTGCTTTCAGAAGTTGTAGGTGCTTCATCACTTGGAGATTTTAAAGAAGAGGCTGGACAGTCAATTGTGTGAAATGGTATTAGGATCTCCTACTTGAGAAGGGGGGCTGGACTAGAAGACCTCCAAAGTCCCTTTCAGCTCTATTCTCATTCTGATTCCAGATCCTGGGCCAAGATTTCCTTCTAAGCAGAATTACCATTAAAAAAAACTAATCTGCATTTGCCTTGAGCAAGAAGGATGGAGGATGGATCAGATATCTGGCTGGATCTGACAGGAAAGGGCAGGATCTGTTCTCTGCGGCCTTGAATGCAGGCCAAAAAGGATGGATCCAAGATACAGTAAAGCAGAAATCAATGCATGTGGGTGGATGGGTGGGTGGTAATACCTGAGAAAAGCCAAGCATGCAAAGCTTTGCTTGCTTTCTTAAGAGGAACCCAGGCAGGTGGTGGGTTCCCCTTCGCAGGAAGTGTGGCCAGGCAGCCATCAGATGGGAAAAACAGGAAAGAAATGTAGCAAACGAAGCTGTCTGGGACATTTTAATTTGGAAGCCCTGCAGGTGCAGGGGGGCTGGGCTCGATGACCTCAAAGGGTCCTTCCCACTCTAGGCTCTAGCCTCCTAATGGGGCTTGGCTTTCGGTATAGGCAGCATTGGGAAAAGGAGGGTCGCGGGCGCATTCTTCCTTCCCCGCCCCGCAGTAATCTTAGGAAGACCGCCCCGGCTCCGTGGAAACAAAGGAAGATCCCCCTTCCCGCCGTGTCCCCACCGGCCCCGGGGAAAGGCGGCGAGAAAGAAACAGCCCCGCGAACCGGGATAGGCCTCGGCTCACCTCCTCACACGCCGCGAGCCCAGGCCGGAAAAGGAAGAGGACGTCACTCCGAAGCGACTCGAAAGCGCGCTGCCGAAGGGAGAGGGGAAAGCCACGGGGCGGCGCGTAGGAGATGACGCCATCGGAACGCGAGAGCGAAAGCGGCGGGACAGCGTCCCAGAAAGCAGAAGGGAGGGGCGCTACTTGGAGGGCGGGGCGAAGAGGGCGTTAGCCACGCCCATGCCTTTCTCCTGTTTTGAGGGCGGGAAGGTCCAACCTGAGCGCGCGCTTTTAGGAGCGATGTGCGATCTGAGGAGAATTCAAGAAGCGCCCAGCGGGAGAAAGAAGCGCGCAAAGGAGCCTGGGATGTGGCTTATATGGCCTCATGGTGACTGGGGTATTCTGGGATTTGAAGTCCACCTATTCTTAAAAGTTGCCAAGGTTGTAAAAACACTGATCTAGATTGGGTTTGCATTCAGGACTTCCGCTGGGCACAGCTAGTCTAGTGAAGAGAAGGACCAGGGGAGACATGATAGCAATGTTCCAATATTTGAGGGGCTGCCACAGAGAGGAGTGGGGTCAATCTATTTTCAAAAGCACCTGTAGGCCATATAAGGAATAATGGATGGAAACTAAACAAGGAGAGATCCAACCTGGAAATAAGGAGAATTTTTCTGACAGAACAATCAACCAATGGAACAGAAGTTGCCTTTGGAAATTGTGGGAGCTTCATCACTGGAAGCTTTCAAGAAGAGACTGGACTGCCATCTGTCAAGTGGTGTAGGGTCTCCTTCTTCGGTGGGGGGGTTAGACTAGATGACCAACAAGGTCCCTTCCAACTCTGTTAATCTCTAACCTGCATTCAGATCAAACCCCCAGCCCATGATTGGGCGGATGGGAGTCTCAGCCACTCAATTAGAGGGCAACCTGGAGAACAGAAAACTACCCTGGGGGTTCATGGCTTCTGCCAGCTCATCAGAGAAGCTCGCCACATTGGAATAGTGTATCCAATATTGGTCACCACGATCCAAAAAAGATATTGAGACCCTGGATGTTGTAATAACGAGGCAGTCGAGGTGTTTGATCATAATCAACTGAATGAGTCTAGTCTTGCATTTATACACATTTTTAGTAATCCTCCAACATTGGTTAACTTTGGTTACTGCTTAACTTTTGTTACTGTTTAGCATAATAGTAATTAGCACAATTATCTCTAGTTAAAGTCTAACATATGTTTACTTCCTCTAATCCTCCTTTAAATTAGTGACTTTGTTTGCCTGAGTTGTATTTGTTTGTAAACATTCTTTATCTGAGGTTTACCATCCAAGATAGGAACATTCCTGCAATTACAACTCTACACCTGGAAAGTGTGCAGAGAACCACAACAAAGATGATTAGAGGGCTAGAGGCTAAATATATATGAAGAATGGTTATACAAAATGGGTATGTCTAGTCTAAGGAAGAGAAGGACTAGGATTGACGTGATAGCTGTCTTCTGGTACTTGAGGGACTCTCACAGAGAAGAGGGGAGCCATTTATTCTCCAAAACACCTCAGGGCAAGAGAAGAAGTAACAAATGGAAACTTATCAAAGAGAGATCCAACCTAGAATTGGGGAGAAATTTCCTGACAGTGAGAGCAATCAACCAGTGGAACAGCTTGCCTTCAGAAGTAGTGGGTGCTCCAGAGGTTTTGAAGAAGATATTGGACAGCCATTTGCCTGGAAAGGACTAGGGTCTCCTGTTTGAGCAGAGGTTTCGACTAGAAGACCTCCAAGATCTCTTTCAACTCTTACTTTGTATTCGTGGTTTCTGCCAGCTCAATAGGGAAGATGCTGTTGGGCATGAGGTAGCATAGGATTTCTCTTCATTCTCAGCAGCTTCGTCTTTGCACCAGATCTGGTTTCGTGGGAAGACACTCGATATTGTTCCTTTGAAAAGCAATGGTGTCAGTAGGAACTGCCAGGCCAACCATCTCTCACTGTTGTACGGTGGATGGAACTCTTTAGGGCCAGATGGGCCTGGCATGGACCACAGCACTCCAAAAATGGAAAGGGAACTCAACCTGCCAATTCAGGTCTTGCTGATGGGAAGTGAAGCACAACAACCAACCCCAAGAAGCCATTTTGTATCTCCATCCCACTCTCCTCTTGACCTATCTGAAAATGACACCTGCTTGAATTCACTCCCCAGGCCCTTCTCAGCACTTGCAAGGGTGTGCAAGTGACAATATATGCCTAATGACATCACACAATGCCATTTTGACATTACTGTGGTTTGCTGTTGCTGTTTGCTTCCTGGGCAAGCTTTGCTCTCAGGATTAGACAAGCCAAATTAGGTTAGGTACACACAGCTGATCTGATACAGGGTATGGGAGATTCCAGTCTATACCCTGTAATGAACGTCTCTGCATTTGCACAATGACAGAGGTAGAAGACCTGGCTCACATCCTATTTGATTGTTGCCTGTGTAAGTGGGTGAGAGACAGGTACCTTGGTCTATATACTAAACAAATGACCCACTGGGATCCCCATATCAAAACAACTTATGTGCAGCCAGAATCTGAAAATATTTAACACAGCACAGTACTTGAGCAAAATGGTTCGGTTAAGTTGGTGTATCTGGGACTGATTGAGGTAGATTGTAGGGGTGATACTGAAGTATAATTTTAGCATATTTTATTTATCTACAATATATTAAATTTTATTTTATTCCAATTTCATTTTAAATCTTATTTATTCCGGTTCCATTTAAAACTGTTTCTATCAGATTTTAGTAAGTAGAAAAAGACACACCACAATGTTTTAAAGGGTTATTTATGACACAAATCTGAAATATATTCAGATGTGCTAAGTTATAAAATAGGTATCAAAACATTCAGTTACACAAACATTCAGTTATTAACAAATTCATTCATTTCATTTGGAAAAACAAAATCAGACAATATACAAAGCAGAAACTTAAATTTAGGACAACACAAATTTACTAACATAAAAATATACAAACTCCAGTTCAGAGTGTTTTCTTGGGCTGAAGGTTATACAAGCACCATTATTTACATAAGAAGTTATAATTTAAACTTCAACTGTCAAAAGATTAGCATTTCACTCCAAAGATAATAAACTGAGAATTTATACTGGATCTAAGTTTGGTTGTAATAATAATAGTTACCACGCAGTGGCAGATATTGCATGAACAAGGAATACAGTAGGTCTTAGACGAATGAGAACCAATCCCCCAAATTAAGGTATGTAATTACAAACACATTACATTCTCCATATTCACTACAGTATTCAGTAGTTGAACTATGTAACTCAGTGTACAAAGCCAAAATGCAGTTAAAAATGATACTCAATTCCTCTTTTGAATCCTGAAGCAAAATTGTGTCGAATATTAGGCAAGATTTTCAGTCTCTTCCATCCAAAATATATTTCCATGTATAATAAAAGACCAGAACAAGTCTTTGTCAATATAGACTGCAAATTTGCAAGTACATATAAGGGAAGAGGAGAAAATCAGAATTCCTGATTTATAGATGGGTCCTTGGTTCTAAAATAGATTTTTCTTTTATAAAATTGTACCGTTAGTCATTACAAACCTACTTTATTATCTGAAGAGGTGAACTCGTACCATTACCATATATATTTAACACTTAAGGTGTTTTGTACTTTTAAGAACAGCCTTCTCCAACTTTGTTGCCTCCGAATAGTAGAACTTACCTGTCCCAGTGCCTGCATACTACGGTAACTAAACTCTACATGTTTCCAAGGACAAAATTAAATTTCAGATTTTAATTAGGACAGCCTTTTCAAGCAGCCTTTTGACAAGCATATTTGCTTGAAAAAAGATAACAGCAATAACACTTAAGACTTATATACCACTTCATAGTGCTTTACAGCCCTAAGCGGTTTACAGAGTCAGCCTATTGCCCCCAACAATCTGGGTCCTCATTTTACCGACCTTGGAAGGATGGAAGGCTGAGTCAACCTTGAGCCTGTCAGGATTGAACTGCTGGCATTTGGCAGAGTTAGCTTGCAATACTGCATTCTACTAATACTACGCCACCACGGCTCTTATACCTGCCTTACTTGGGAAACTAAGTTGGCAAATATTATAGAACAGAGTATAGCTAGTCAGGTCAGCTGTGTTTAAGTTAGTACTGTTTAACAAAATTGAAAAATTGTGTGTGTCTAGGGGGAAATCTGTTGCTTTCTGTTCAGGTGATTTAATGCCCCACCCAATTATTTCTAAAGTTTCTTGGGAAAAACAGATGGCATTCTACAGTGTGATATTCCATAAAGAAATGCAACATACCACATTTTAAATTGTGATCAATAATTAAGATATTATACATTATATCAAAAAAGGATACAATTAGGACTTGACAGGTATTATTAATACAATGAGGTGCATTAATTTCCAAGCCATGATTAGAAAGCCATTCTCAACTGTGTTGGCTCAAATTTCAATAACAAGCTGACTTTAGGTTAAAAATATTTTCCAACTAGTTTTCATTCATGCATAAATGCAAGAAAAGTCAGGGATAAAGTCAAAACTCTTCATGCTAAATAATGCGTTCTTGGGTTCTACTATTTTTCTTTCCTGTCATTCCAGATGTTTCTTTGGATTCCCTTTGCAACTTTCCATCCCAAAGCATATGTATTTCCAAGTTAAAATTTGTGGCAATCTAGGTACTAAAAGACCCCTATTTTACTTAAGAGGCCCAGTTTCTACAGCCCAGAATTGTTGACTGTACCATTTAAGTTTCAACCAGGTGTGTGCCTATATTTTAAATGCTTTTGTTAAACAGCAATTGCTATCATAAAACAGTTTATCAGAGAATTTGTTCTCTAAGCTTCTCCCCAGTGTGCTTTGTTTACTGTACATTGTCATGATGGTAGCAGTGTACCTGTGCTCAAAAATGTGTTTTTACACCTGCAGTGGTCCGTTCCATACTGATGTACTTTTATCTTCCCTCTTATTTTGCAAGATCTCTCTCCTTTCTCTCTCTCTCTCACTAAAACTGGCCAAAGTTACACTAAAAAGTAAGAATGTGGACATTAATTACAATATCCAAGTAGTAATTTTGTTCACCAGCAAATATCACACATATACACAAACACTTTGATTTATATCACAATATTGCTTAGGAAAAAAAAACCTGACAGCCACTGACTCCTCTGGTAGTCTCAAGAAAGTTCATATTTTAGCATCTGAATGTTTAAATCAATGTATTGTCCAAGTGTATAAAAACTGCATCTACCCGGCACGCTGCTAGACATTGGCCTTTCTAAGATTGGCGGTTTGAATGTGCATTTAAAAATCAGGTTTGTGAGGAACATCACAGTGACATCAAAGCTTGGAAGAACCTTTTTTTAAAAGAAAAAAAACTTTTACAGAAGTTAGACATGCTGAGTTTCATTGGCTTAATTTAGGTTAACGACAGCGGTACTGCCTGAGACGTTTACATGTCAGTATAGCACACAGGAAAGAGAATATATGAACATTTTGTTATAAATAAAACAGTTATTACTTTCAGGCTACAGAAAGCAGTAACAGAAACATACTAGCTCTGGAAGCTACATGTCAAAATTACTGCCATTAAATCAATAGTTTCACTCAACCTCTGAGGGACACGTTAAAATGAAGACTGTTTTGCTATATAGCTCCTTGTTCAACAAGTGCAATATTTCAACAATGTTTCATTTAAAAAGAAAGCAAAACTGAATAATCAACATAGACAACCTTCCCAGAAATTATAGTGCAGATACTTTTTTTTTTCCTTATAGCACAAGTAAAATAAAGGCAAAAGGATAAATTGCTGCTTAAATTCAGAATTTGCCACTAAGTAACGTAACGTTAGAAACAAGAAAGAGAAAAAGAGAGACTGGTACCAGCCCAGCCTTAGGCACGTCCTTCTTCTTCCCCTCCCCAAGTTATTATGATTCGAAATGTTATTTTTCTGAAGCATTAATTAAGGAATGGAAGTGTTGCTCTTTTAAGTTTGAAGAAGAGGGGAAAAAAAGAGGGTAAAGAAATGATAAAGTAGCAATGCCAGGCAAGAAGAGATTGTTTCCAGAAAACAAAAAGTTAAATGAACGATCATCAGCAATTTTAGTGGCAACTGGATGCAAATAATTTGTGCTTGAGTTTCTCAAACAAAAATCTCCCACTTCTGCCACTTCTCACACATGGGTTCTGTATTGTATTTTCCACTTTGGTAATTCCATGAAAATCCCACCATCAACTCCCCTGCCAGGAATATTCTGAACAGTTTGATCCTGTCAACTAGGAAAAGCTGGGCGTCAGTCCCCATATCGGCCTAAAAATTGGTGCTTTTGTTATAATATAGCTTTGACTAGGACTGTTGTGTGAGACGACGGAAGTGAGGTAACACTTGGTTATCGGGAAGGTAAAGAGCTAATTCCAAAGCCACAAGAACAGTAAATTCAAATCTAATGAGATCTCGTCTGTTGAATCGGAATCGTTCTTCCAACTTCTGTAAAGGCAGAAAACAAATGAAATAAATACAACACCATGTTTTGTATCCTTGCATACAACAGTCTGCATATTTGTTTGGCATACAAAACCAGAGCTATTTTAACGATAACATACAGGTAATCCTTGACTTACTACTATTTGTATAGTGATCGTAAGTTATAATGACACCGAAAAAAAGTGATTTATGACTGTTTTTCACACTCACGGCAGTTGCAGCATCCCTGCAGTTATGTGATCAAAATTCAAGTGATTGGCAACTGTGTGATACACTACGGTAGTTCTCTAGGAGCAAGTATTTGTTTTCTGTATGGAGAAGCACTGAAGTATGTAAAAGTACACCACTTTCTCCAGGGTGAGTAATTTTCGAGGACAAGAGATGGCAATGACTAGCTGAGGCTGTAAGAGGTGTCAAACATGATTTCATGGTGGGGCGTATCAGGGTTGTGTTTGACTTCACGGGGGCCCGAGGTGTGTGTGGCCAGGGGGCATGGCCAGCTTGGCATCACTCACCAAGGCTCCATTTTCAGTTGTGACGGCCTCCTGCGGCCCTCTACCAGTGAAAACGGAGCCTGGGGAGGCCGCATGTGGCTCCATTTTTGCTGGCAGAGGCACTGCGGGCTGGTCCCTCGCTGTTTCCATTCTGGGCCCACGGGCCAGATCTAAGCACCCAGTGGACAGATCCGGCCCACGGGCCTTGAGGTTGATACTGCTGCTGTTAAGTGATATCACTGCAAGGATGGATGTCACTAGAAGGGCTGGGACTGTTTTAAGGATAGGAAAGGGTGAAGGAAGACTTCCAGAGACAAACTGCTCCATTTGATCTTGACAAATCCACCCATCCAGCAGAGCCAAACTAACATACCATGAACACTGAGAGGAAAGCAGAAACATTTTGGTGATCTGATTTCTCGTCATTACTGAATCTCTCTCTCTCTCTCTGTCATACCCCTGGTGGAGACTGACTCTGAGGGAGAGGAGGAACAGCCGACAGGGAGTGGAAGTGTGGCTCCAGAGGTGGTGGAGGAGGCTGGGGAAGGGCAGAGGCCGGCTGAGCAGTCAAAGGAGGACCCAGGCCCATCCCCTATTCCTATCCACGCAGGGAGGAGAGGATCAGGGTAAAACGTGGTTTACTCAGGATGAGAGGGCCATGATCCTCTTCATGGGTTGCAGGTGTGAGATCTGCATAAAAGGTTGGACCTGCGTGTTAACAGATGCTGGAGACAAATTAGTGTTTTATTCCTAAAGAAGGTTTATCTTGGCTGGCGTTCTTCCAACGGATTGTCCCTGGTTATCTTCCTGAAGTTGGCAATTATCTATCCTGGTTTGTCGTGGAACTTTATTTAATGCGGTTTGTTTTTGGTTTTTGCTTCGTTATCGGCTCTTTCAATTTGAATTGTGTTTCTTTCCTTTGAAATGTTATTTTGAAAATAGTTTACTCTTCCACTGTAAACAATTAAACAGTGAAGCCAAGTTGAAGGCATTAAAGGACTTTTAGTTACGTTTTGGGTTTTGTTATATTTCTGATATACTCTGGGTCATCACACTCTCCTTCCCTCCCTCTCCTCTCCCTATCTCTCCTCCATGTGTGTGTGTGTGTGTGTGTGTGTGTGTGTGTAGTTGGAAATTGGAATGGTCTGTCTCCTTCTTACCCTGGAGTGGGGATTAACATTTTGCCACTGAATTTCCATGGCCCCATTTCCATGTAGCCTGTGGGCTGCCATTTCTGACTCATGCAGTATTCTGAAAAGTCGTGGCCTGAAGGCCTGACAGATTTAGCAGCCCAGTGAGAGGGACACCAAATGGTGACATAATACGATAGGAGAAAATGACTTGGTCTTCTGCAGAACTTACACTTTTGCCATTGTAATACATTGCTTTGCTGATGTTTGTTGCAAGGACAGTCAGAACTAATCACATCGCCTCAGGAGGATGACAGGCCTTGGCGCTGTTTTCTGGGAAAGAACCAAACTGCCTACCTATTGTAGGTACTTGGCCCATCAACAATGATTTATTATAAGGTAAATGGAGTGTAGTAATACATCGAAGGGCAACAAAGAGATAGCTTCAATTCCCTGCTCATTTATTTGAGAATAAGTCTCACTGAAAGGAGCAGGGCTTATTACCAGAACACATGGTAATGCATTAAAAAATATAACCCGAGAGCCAGACAAAGAACAGAAAAAGAAATTGCTTGATGCCATTATCAGCAAGATAACAGGAGAGGAAAATTAAAAACCGGTGCATGTGAACAAATGGATCTGCTTCAGAGAAATTCAAATTATGTTGACAATAACCAAGGAGACTCAGTCCAATTTAAATCTGGTATCATTTCCCCTTCCAAACTAACCCAATCATTTGGGAACCCATTCAACAGACAATTTGGGGTTGGTGTTGCAGAGACAACATTATTACTATTATTTTCATCACAATCCTGGCATCCAAATGGTAGCTTCAAAGCACTACCAACAATGCCAGCCTGCCTCTTTCTAATTTTTCTCATGCATTTACAGTGGCAAGCAGGTGCGGGGCATTTGTACCACAATTACTTAAAAGTAACATTGGATTTCCAGACTCTTGTCAAAATGTATATATTTCCATTCAAGGTTATTCACAAATCTGCAAAGATTTATGTGTCAAGGGGGAAAAAATCATTTCAGAACTTTGAGGGTTTTCAAAGAGCTGGAGACCTGCCTGGAAGACATTCCCGTTGTACTTACATCAATTAGATGTTTGACTTCGTGTTTCCTGAGATCACTGCTAATCTTGGCTGCGAGCAGCACACAAGCACCGGCACACAGTTTTCGGTTCTGTTTGTTGAGCTTGCCTTGGAGGACAAGTTTCTCAAAGTAGACGTAAGCCATGGACACAGTAATTGGCTCCAGGTTGCACTCCATACTCAGGGTCCGCATTTCTCTCTTTAAACTGCAAGGGAGAAGGGCGTGAAAGAAGAACCAAGGCTCATTTTTTGCTAGACGGATGAGAGAAACTTCAGAATTAGGTGAAAGGTATATGTTTTAAAGCAGGGGTGTCAAACTCGATTTCATGGAGGGCCGCTCCAGGGCGTCAGCATTCCAGAAAACCTCCACTCCCACAAATAACTCTGAGACAGACATCTTCTCAAAAGTTCTGTTTTAATTGGATAGTAAACTGGCACATCAGGGGCACCCCGAATCGGAAGGTTCCAGGCTTCCTTGCAATAAGTAAAAACTACAAATCCATCTCCTGCAGTCATATTCACATCACATGCCCCAATCACCATCCGTCCCAACTTGAGACTTCCCCTCACTTATGCACAGAGTAACACGACCTTAACTTAGAAAAAGAATGTTATTGTGTCTAACTACATACACTCCAAGAAATTCCCCCCTCCCATTTTCCCAGGCTCCAAATGTGGCAGTGTGGAAGCAACTGGTCTCACTATCATTTTTAAAGCTGACAGAGGGTTCTGTTTGACCTTGGGGAGGGTGGGGGGGAGACCAGTGGGCATGGCTGGGGTGGGCATGGTCAGGGTAGGCGTGGCCAGCTCAATGTCCTGCAGCCTGCAAAAACAGAGCCCAGGAGGGCCAGTAGAGGCACCGCGGGCTGGTCCTTCACTGTTTCCAGGGCGGCCCCATGGGCCAGATCTAAGCACCCTGTAGGCCAAATCTGGCACATTGGCCTTGAGTTTGACACCTCTCTTTTAAAGGAAAAGGGTTCTCCAGCCCAGTCGTGCCTGACTCTGCTCATCTCCGTTTCTTGGCTAAGGGAGCAAGCGTTGTCCAAAGACATTTCCTGTTATCATCTGCCCAGCACGACAATACACCAAAGCACACAGAACTCTGTTACCTTCCCACGGAAGTGGTACCTATTTATCTACTCACATTTGCCATGCTTTCGAACTGCTAGGTGGGCAAGAGCTGGGGCCAGTAACAGGAGCTCACCTTTGCCCATGGCACGTGGGTCTCCAACCTGGACTGTCAGCTTTTCAGCTGATAAGGTCAGCATCTTTAACTACTAAGGCATCGCCCTGCCCTCCCATGTATGTTTTAGAACAGAACTTTTCATAAAGAGGCAGAGGAAGATGAGTTCTCCGATCTTTGGGGCTTCAGGAAGCAGCAACTGGACCCCATGCAGGAGAGAGAATATGGGATCAATCAGATGAACATGGCTAAGGAGAAATCCCCGTAGGAGGTTGTTCAATCGGAAGAAAATCAGGGAAAGGAGCAATTATCTAACTTCTTTCCTATGCATTAGAACTGAATTGTGCAATTTCTTGCAGAATCAAAAGTATCATCAATTACCAATGCTGTATGACAAGGAAACACGGAACCTTATAAGCCTGTGGAATGTTATTACAGGCAGTCCTTATGACCATAATGCAGCTCGCGGCTATGTGATTGACCCAATTTTGCAACCTTTTTTTGCAGTCATGTGACCACAAGAAGGGCAGATCTTGGGACTTCAGAACTGGTCACAAGTACTTGGTGGGGGGGGGGGGGGGGAGATTGTCATGACTTCTTATGGTTGCCCAGTGACAAGGACTATCTGTATAATGAATGAAAGAACTACAATGAAGCAGATTTTTTAAAAGCATGCTTCTATTTCACGACAGCAACTTTGATTCAGGTTTACATAGAATTTCTTTAGTGTCCTTTCAATCTATTTGCTATTCAGAGGAAGGTGAACTAAGTTAGATCTATGTCCTAGAGAGAGATGGATCAAGAGGTAAAACACAGAATTAGACTAAGTTATCTTAGTTGCTCTTCTTTGTACTTTTTCCAAAATCTCAACATTTTTTTGTAAAGGTAGTGACCTAAACTGGATGCAATATTCCAGATGTGGCCTTGCTAAGGCTTTATAAAGTGGTACTAATACTTCACAGGATTTTAATTCTACGCCTTTGTTTATACAAACAAGGATTGTATTAGTTTTTGGGGCTGCTGTCACACTGTTGGCTCAATATTCTGGTTTTGGTTGAAATTTTTCAAATTTAAATATGTTTCACAGTTCTAGTCAAAAACTGTACAGAGCTGAAGCATTGTTAGGAACAAAAGCATTCAAAATAGACTAGAAGGTTTGATTGTTCATGCTTGATTTTTTATAAAATAGAAGATGCAGAAACATGGTTATGAAACAAGCTGAGAACAAATAATTTCCCAGTATCATCTTGTAACGAAAAATAAACCAAATAGTGAAGGTTCATACTTCATGGTCAAAATTAAATCTGTGCTTAGGCCAGTATTTCTCAATCTCAACAACTTTAAAGCTGGCTGGGGAATTCTGGGAGTTGAAGTCCACGCATCTTAAAATAGCTGAGGTTGAGAAACATCCGTTTAAATTACATCACAGCATATTTAACAACTAGAGATTTGTTACAGAATCAAAAACCCCAATTCCCAACATAATTAGCATGAAAAAGAAGGAAGGAATAATTCCTTACCTCCTGACATGTTATACTTCTATAGTTATTAACTATGACTATATTGCCAAGGCATAGAATATATTTTGGAATGGAGCATTGAATCAAGAACTTGTAAATAAAGTATCTCATAGCAATAGCACTTAGACTTTACAGTGCTTTACAGACCTCTCTAAGCGGTTTACAGAGTCAGCCTATTGCCCCCCAACAATCTGGGTCCTCATTTTACCCACCTTGGAAGGATGGAAGGCCGAGTCAACCTTGAACCTGGTAAGATTTGAAATTTTGCAAAATGGCAGTCAGCCAGCAGTCAGCAGAAGTAGCCTGCAGTACTGCACTCTAACCACTGTGCCACCGTGGCTCATAGCTTATAACTTATAATATAACCTCATATTTATTAACACTTATGCAAGATTGGGCTGTAAATATTTACAGATAAAACCACTCTGATGCAAATCTGGATAGAAATAAGCCTGTTCCAAAGTCAGGACTCAGAAATAAAAGTGATTTTCCCATCTCCCAAACATTTTTTTTACCTTCTGATTTTGCTGAGCGTGAGCTTGATGTGAGGAAATTTTTCTTTAAATGTTTCATTCATATCTTTTTTAAGATCTGAGGGTTTTACGTATTCGATCACGGTGGTCTGAAATAAAAAAAAGGATTTATTTAGAAATCTGTACCGAGAAAGAGAATGTGAGACACCCCAAATAACTTGATAGCAGTATTCTATATAACAGAGCAAGTTAGTCTCTTCCTCCGAAGTACAGCTTGATCATGTTAATTTAATCATTTATTTCTCTATAAGCCCTTCCTTTTCCTTCCAATGCTGGATGGCTTGTGTGGCCATTTGATTAGCATTGTTTGAAAATGACCACCCAGAAACCAAACACGGACAGAAAATGTTATCTGCATTCCATTCAACATTAGAAAACTACTTCAGATTACGTTCCTTTGTTTCCTAAGAGTAGGATACTAAGAGCAGTAGGGTCCTTGGTGCTCTCTGAGCTTGGTTGTTTTCTTACGTTTCAATACCAAACTAGGTAATATCATCAGTGCTAGAAGGGAGTGGCGGTTTGCACTGATGATGTAACCTAGATGGCTAATGAAATGTCTGCAATTTCAGAGAGCATCTAGAACACCACCATTCAACCCGAGCTACAAATATTAGCTTCTATCGATACTAAGAAGATTCTCTCTGGATAAGCAAACAAGTTGGGCTGATTCAGAATGGAGTAAGGAGGGGCCAAGCAATAAAATGCTTTAGAGGACAACATTTATAGCATTTTATACTGTATTCAGTAGCTAATTGGTAACTGCTTAAGATGGGAAGGATCATATACTCCTGAGGCCGCTTGATGGTGCATTCTTATCTTACTTGATAATCTTCTGAAATCAAAGGTGTGTTTAGACAACTGACAAAAGGAAGACTAAGTCCAGCAGGGTATTAGCAAAGGTGTTAGCTGCAGCTAAAACTCTAGCCCAGTGTTTTTTAATCTGGGCAGCTTTAAGATGCTTAGACTTTGATTCCCAGAATTCCCCAGCCAGCCATACTGGGGAAAACACTGAAAAACACTGCCCTAGCCTTTTTTCCATTAGTGTCTGGTTATTGTGTTGATTTGTTTTTGTGTGCTTAATTTTGTAGGCAGCTTGGAATTGTGCGTGTGAGACAGGCAGGTATATAAATCCACTAAATCAATCGATGTTTAAAAATAAATCTAATACTAGGCAAAAATGTGGAACGGTGAGGTCCTTGGCGGCTCTCTGAGCTTGGTTGTTTTCTTGCAGATGTTTCATTAGCAAACTAGGTGCACTGATGATGCTACCTAGTTGTGTAATTAAACATTGGTAAAAAGCCACCGAGTTCACCAAGGACCCCACCGTTCAACGCTTAGTTACAGATATTCTATCAAAAATATATAGAAGGCTCATATATTCTACATAGCACTAGGCAGTACAATTCAATGTTTTGTTTCAGCTGCACTCCAATAAATGGAACTCTGCACTTTAATAACCCTTAGCTGGTATTAAGTTGTACTAAGTTTGTGCTGCTAACCATATTGCTTATCTTTGCCCCGGCGTCAGAGCTAAGTCCGCCCCTAACTAGGTCAAGAGGGTTACAAGAATAATTGCTTTTAAGACAGGAGGTTTCTGAAACCCTTTCATAATCATTTAATCCTGCAACACTTGGCACTTCAAACAGAATGGTGAGTTTGTACCAGTCTGGGTTGGGAAGCGCAACCTTAGCAGCAAACGTACCAGGTTTAAATACAAGATGGGTAATAACAGGAGATGCAGAGAAATTGCTCCAGGTCCAGCCCTTAGGAGTTTACTAATTTGTTTAGTAATTGAAATTCAGACGTTGAATCTGAGCTCATTAGGATTTGGGTCTGCTTGCTAATGGAAGCCAAAACTGCTGGACAGATCGTTAGGAAAACATTACTGCTCATCACCTGGTGTTTGACCATGGCTGCTGAAACTATTCCTGTGTGCTTCAAAGAGAAAAATGTAGGTCTGTGATAATATCTGCATTGCCCTAGAGGTCTATATATACTCCATTTATGTGTGTAATGCCTCGATCTAGGCTTGCCTTAGGCCACGGTGCCAATTTTGAATAACTTTGAATACAATTTGAGTGCCTGATTTATTGTTTGGTTACAGAATCCCTATAACCTTTCAGCTGCATAGTGCTTTTGCAGAGATTGTGTGGTTTTTGGTTGTCATTGCAAGTAAGTGTAAGGAAAACCTAGCATTCCCGGGAATCCTAGGATAATTCCCATTTTTTCCCCCCTCTCTGACCATGCTGAGAGCCTACAGTTTGGGCAATTTTGGGGAAATATGTAAGCAACGTGATTGGCACAATCAGAAGGAGAAACAGTCTAAATGATTTGGAATAGTTTTTAAGTGTTCCAGAATAGGTTTTTGACTTATATATAACGGGAAGTAAGGTTAAGCAATATGTAGCTCCATGTCTACGGAGATTCTCAGTCATCCAGGTCATGGTTGTCCCAAAGGTAGTTTTTCAAGAGGCAACTGGACTTTCTGGTTTTTCTTTGAAGACATTTTGCTTCTCATCCAAGAAGCTTCTTCAGCTCTGACTGGACGGTGGGGAATGGAAGGATTCATACTCCTTGCAGACAGCTGGTCATTTGCATCTTTTTTAGAGAGCCATTGAGGCCACCTGGAGGTTTATCTGTGTCCTCAGGGCAACCTGAGTAGTGCAAATGGGTGTGAAGCCTTCCTGGAATTGTTAACCCTTTCAACTTCTGTTCCATTCTTTCTCCACCATCCCATCACAGCTGAAGAAGCTTCTTGGATGAGAAGCGAAACGTCTTCAAAGAAAAAACAGAAAGTCCCGTTGCCTCTTGAAAAAAAGGCACCTTTGGGACAACCATGACCTGGATGACTGAGAATCTCCACAGACGTACAGTTGTTCGGTGGCTTGTGGGGAAAATTGATCCAATAGTCGGTAGCTTTTCCCCACAAATCACACGATCATCTCCTCTCGCCCTGGTGATCTAGAATCATATTTGAACTTGAAGCTGATTCAAGTAGCAGATGAAAAAACGAGTAGCAGGAAACAGAACGCTGAAGTTTCAAATGGGAATAAAAAAGCTTATCACTAAGAGCTCCACATGAATGAACTTCTATAAACTACTCTCTTTGCTTTCAATGCTGTCTAAGTCAGCAGCCATGCAGTGGTAATTAATTTTGAAGGTTAAAGTCCATTACGTGCCATTTCAGAATGAATCTTCTTTAGTTAACAATGGTCACCGAACTGCAGTTTGCTAAGGGAGATGATGCAGAGGGGGGAAAAAAAAACTATTTGTGTAAGCCTTTCTCCTATATTTTACAGAAATGTTGGAGTTGTGGGGAACGAGCTAGGAAAACGACACCGAAAAAAAAAAAGAATATGGGGTATACTGATCACAGTTCTATCTAGTTTCAAAATCAATACAGTCCTGGATCTCAGAATGGTGAAACTGGAACCCCAACACCAAGTTGCTAAGCAGATGTGAAAAGAACCAAAAGCCACAGGTAGTCCTCAACTTATGACCACAATTCCTGTTGCTATGCAAGGCGTTTGTTAAGTGAGCCACGCCTGATTTGATAACCTTTTTTTTTTTTTTGCCGTGGTTGTTAAGCAAATCACTGCAGTTGTCAAGTGAATCTGGCTTCTCCACTGACTTCGCTTGTTGGAAGCTGACTGTTATGCCCCCTTCAGAGCCTGAATCAGCGGAGGAGGAGGAGGAGGAGGAAGAGGAGGAGGAGGAGGAGGAGCTAGAGATCGAGGGGGCGGCTCCATTGGCTTCGGAGGAATGTGGGGAGGAGCAAGACAAGGCAGCCCAGGGCCCCTCAGGATTGGACGGCTTGCCAGCAGGGAGGAGCAGGAGCAGGATGACAGAGAGTGGGCAGGCAGTGGAAATGAGGAGCGGCAGAGCTCAGGCGATGAGCAAGGACCACCCCCTCCTGATCCACAAGCATGGAGTGGAGAGGAGGCGGGAACAGCGCAGAGCGACGTGACAACTCGGGAGGAGAGCGCCCCTCCCCTCTTCCTAAGGCGCACCTGGGGACGGAGACTTGAGACGCTGTAGGGAGGGGCGTTTGTCAGGAACAAACGCTGAATTTGTGGTGTTTCGTGTGCTGTCGCCGACGCCTGGTGTTTGCGGGACTGCCTGCCTTCTTCCTTGCTTTGTGGACTCTTGCCTTGCTGGATTTCTTGTTCCTTTGCCTTGCTGGAGCCAGAGGCTGGTGTGCGTGCGTGTGTGTGTGTGTACGCGCGCGCACACTTTGCTCTGGCACTTGCCAAGAATCTGGGAGCATTTGGGGGAAAGCTGGAGTATTGAAAGGGAGTCTGAATGTGATGACCCAGGGTGGGATACAAAACAGACACACTTACAAAAACCTGGTGAAGCCCCTTTTATTCCTTCACTTTGCTTCCAAGCTCCAAATATCCTTGACTGGAGACAAAAAACTCCCACACAAGCAGTTACAAGAAGGAGGAAATGTCGTTTAAATTATAAAGAGTAAAAAACCACACAAACCAGGCAAGATAAGGGCTTGAAGACGTCCACAGATATCAGAACACACACTGGAAAGGACACCGAACTCAGGAACGATAAACTAGAGATATTTCCACACTTTGTTTCCAGCACTGGCCCATACGTGTGTTCTTATCCAGTTGTCACAGCTGCAGCCCATGAAGAGGATCAATGCCCTCTCCTCCCCCGTAGACCCTCTCCCTTATCCTCTCCTCCCTGCGTGACCTAGGATGGAGAGGGGATGGGCCTGGGTCCTCCTCTGACTGCCCAGCAGGCCTCTGCCCTTCCCCAGCCTCCTCCACCACCTCTGGAGCCACACTTCCACTCCCTGTCAGCTGTTCCTCCTCTCCCTCAGAGTCAGTCTCCACCAAGGACATGACACTGAACTCTCAGCTGGCTGTGTGGCCTTCGTGCCTTGTCCTGGGTCATCACACTGACTGGGAAGGTCGTAAATGACAATCCTGGTATTCTGGTTTGCAAGTCACTTTTTTCAGTAGCGTTTGAATGGTCGCTAAACGAATAGCTGCAAGTCAAGGACCACCTATACATTGCATAGAAAATAGCATATTAACCATTGCTCTCCCACAGTAATTTATAACCAGTCAGGGGAACGAGGACACAACCACCACTGCATCCATGTAAATAAAACTCATAGGGAAATACACTACAAATGCTTAACTACTGTACTTGTTAAGAAACTGCACTAAAACATCTTACCATGTACGATGCAAAGATGAGGACACGTTTGTGTTTCCCACACGGCCACTGCGGATCATCAAGCAAATTGGGATTGTACTCTATCAATTCTCCCACTTCATTTCCTGGAAGTAAAGAAGGAGTTGAAGACTAAGAGCTCACCAAGATAATTTAGGAAAAGCATCCCCTGAATCTTTCTGAAGGGTCTTTGCTGTCCAGGTGAGGTTAAGAAAGGGTCGATCCTCAGGTCATTCGTTTTGGAGGGCAGGAAGACACAACACTTGTGCTCTTCCTACGACCAACAAGACAACCATTTTTTTGGCTATATGTCCAAAGAAATGTGTTTCCTGACTTGGACTAGGTGAAATAGGGTTGTCTTGGTTCACCTGCCTGATTTCTTGGTTGGCAAGCCCATTTGCTCCAACAGCTTACTGTGTATCATAGCAGGAGGGAATGCAACCTCTCAGCTGGTCAATGATTGCTACGTCCCAAAGTGAGCTTTGTTTTTTAAGGTTTATGCATGGAACACTGAAACATGGACCTGTTGCATTTTTTCTCACCAGATAAAATAGAAGAGATCTGCTACTTTCCCCTTGTAGTCTTAGTAAAATGAACTCCTTCCTTCCTTCCTTCCTTCCTTCCTTCCTTCCTTCCTTCCTTCCTTCCTTCCTTCCTTCCTTCCTTCCTTCCTTCCCTCCCTCCCTTTCTCCCAGGAGAGAATCAATCAGGCTCAACACGATCTGAACAAAACCTCAGGTCATCACTGCAGCTAAAGCACAGCAAGGAGTTAAATCTAGAAAAGAATGCTTTTAAGCTGGCTTTATTTCCAGCCAGTTTACCCATGGGAGACAAGCAGCTTAAGACTTAAGCTCCAAATCTTCAAAAACCCTAAAAAAATAACTACAGATAGTTAAAAAACAACAAGTCCAGAACACTGAGCTAAATAGACTGATGATTTGATTAAGCAAAAGCATATTTATATACAGTATGTTTGGTCTAGTTTAGTCTAGTGTTTACGCACCAAGCTAGAAACCAGGAGACGGAGTTCTAGTCCCACCTTAGGCATAAAAGCTGGTGGGTGACTTTGGGCCCATCACCAGGCCTGGGAGTTCTAGTTCCACCTTAGCCATGAAGCCCAGCTGGGTGACTTTGTCCCAGTCACTTTTTCTCATCCCAACCCACCTGTTATCATGGGGAAAATAGGAGGGAGAAGAATGACTAGGTACACTTGCTACTTTGGACTTATTTATGAAAAATAAAAAGCCGGGATAATATTTACACACACATACACTACACACATACACACACACACCAGTGGTGGGTTTCAAATTTTTTTTACTACCTATTTTGTGGGCATGGCTTGGTGGGTGTGGCAGGGGAAGGTCACTGCAAAATCCCCATGCCCTCCCCACCCCACTAACCTGCTTTCCAGCTCTGTTCTCCTGTGCAGGGCAACAAAAGGAGACTCAGCCGATCAGCTGGGGCTCGGGAGGCAGAGAATAAATGGGAGCAGGGCCAGTCAGAGGTGGTATTGGCCGGTTCTCCGAACTACTCAAAATTTCCGCTATGGGTTCTTCAGAACTAATCAGAACCTGCTGAATACCACTTCTGAAACATTCATTACATAAACGTATACACACACACACACACACACACATACACACACACGGGTATACACCCACCCACCAACAAACCACATTTAAAAAAAAAACAGTTCCCAAAGCTCATTTTTTCTGTAAGATAAAGTATATAGGACGATTCTCGTTTGGCTTTAATTTTTTTTTTTTTTAAACTACGAAGGTCATGCAACTGTCTGGGAAAAGGATGGGAAGAGGATATACTGAATCTGTTCCAAATGTGCATAAATCATCTCTCTCCTCTCTTCCTCCTCCAGTGACCCAATGTGGAGCACCGATTCCTGCTGCTGCTTGTTTTGTTACTCATCAAAAGCTACGGCACTGTGTATCTGACAGGCTAATGGTGTTGCCTCTCTCAATTATTGGCGTTCTGCAGTGCCTTAAGCAGCAGGTGCCAGGCTCCATGGCTTCAATCCTGCTGCTTTTTTTGCAGAGTTGCGCTGAATCATGACATGGCAAAGCCAGATTTTTCTTAAAGGTCTCCCAGTGGTGGTTGAAAGGATTCGTCAAGTCATGTTGACAAAAAATAGGGCCTAGCTGTGAATTACCAGCAGCAGCTCAGTGACAAAGCAGTATGGGGAAAGCAAAAAGGAATTCCTTTTAGGAGCACTTAAGGCACCCAAAGGTGCTCTTTTGATGGATCACGGAGCCAGCAGAACCAAACGGGCTTTTAGCTAGCACTTTGGAAGTCAATCTGCTGTTTGCTGCTTCTGTTCCTTGAAAAATAATTAACCTTCCTTGCAGGGGTGGGATTCAAATTTCTTAACAACCAGTTCTGTGGGCGTGGCCTAATTTGTGGGTGTGGCTAGGTGGTCATGTGACTGGTTGGGTGTGGCTTGCTGACTGGGCATGACTTGGTGGTCATGTGACTGGCTGAGCATGGCTTGTATGTAATTTTTTTTTATTAAGAAAAGCAACTTTTACCCAAAAGCAGGCAAAGCAGGCAAAGCAGGCAGGCAGATTGAGTTGCTCACAGAATCACAGATTCACTCAGAGATCGATCTTTCTGCAATCTGCTGCCTGAGTCTGCACTGAAAAATAGAAGCTTTAGTCCTAAGGAATGTTCAGCTCTGCTTTTAGATTAGCTAGAAAGCAAGAAATCCAACGATTTCCTGCTTTCTAGCTAATCTAAATCTCCCGGCACAGAACAACAGCTGATGGTTGTGGGGGGAAAAGTAAAAATAGCAACTTAGCAGGCAAGTTTGATGGCGCGCATGCCAGGTAAGGAGTGAGTAGGAAGGGAGGGGAGGGGCCAGCCAGTAGCACGATTTGCCAGTTCTCCAAACTGGTCAGAATCATAACCACCGGTTCTATAGAACTGGTCCGACCAGGTAGAATCCCACCCCTGCTTCCTTGTTTAGAAGCTCCGAGGCAATGTTTATGGCAGCATTTCAAACTTTGAAAAAACAAACAAACTGGAGGCAGTTTGGTCTAGACACCAGGCTAGAAGTCAGGAGACTGGGAGTTCTAGTCATGCTTTAGGCATGAAAGCCAGCTGGGTGACTTCAAACCAATCACCAGGAGACTGGGAATTTTAGTCCTGCCTTAGGCATGAAAGCTATCTGGATGACTTTGGCCCAGTGACTCTCTCCCAGCCCAATCCATTTCACAAGGTTGTTGTTGTGGGGAAAATAGGAGAAGGGGGAATACTGATCATGTTTGCTGCCTTGAAGTATTTATAAAAATAATAAAGGCAGGATATAAATGAACACATTTTGCTGTATGCTCATGATAGGGGTGGCTCTATTAAATTAGAATAGTTTTTTTGTGGTGTCTTTTAATGACCCTGTAATCTCTTACATCAGGGTGGAGTCGGGGCAACCGAATGGAGCTGAGTGTTTAGTGGCTGGATGCCCTTCCTGTCACCAACGCAGAGTTTGCAGCAGATAAATAAATAAAATTATGGCAGTCTCTGCAAGAGCCCAGAAAGTAGTTCTTGGCTTTGTAATGAAAGGTTCAAATTAGCAGGTCTTTATAAGGAGAGAAACAATTTCTTGCACCTTGGCATGTAAGGCGCAACCTGGTGCACCTTCGGACGTACTGGCCACCCTGTTTGAAAATGCTGGAAGTTGTTTGATGCAACAATCCTTGTTGACTTCTCTGAACACTACTCAGAAATGGTTTTATAATCAAAACAGCAGAGGCAATGCGTAAGAGAGAGGCAAACCAATCAGCCACAGGAAGTCTCAACTACTGCAGAACTAACAAAGGGGGGGGGGTATGTCCCCAAGGGACTATAAAATATCTCCCCCAAAATAACTCAATGAAAAGCGGGTGCAGTAAATTACATAATCTTGGGGATGGAAGAAAGTGGGAAATTGAAGACAGGCTATTGTTGAGGTAATTCCCCGTTAGGAGAATGAGCGCATTCAGGGAGACGTATTTGAGAGGAGTGTTTGAATAATACACATACAGCACACAGATACACTGTACAGTAAATGTAGGTTTTTACTTCCAGAAACGTTACGCGAAGTCCAAAATAGGCAGTCCAAAGTCTTTCACAGGTAAAATCAGACAGTTTTCATCCAGGGATAATCCAAATATCAAATTCCAGTGTCAAAAAACAGTTCAGTATCAGACTTATATTAAATTCATGAATATCAGTCAATTAGGAAAAATGGAGCAACGGCAATACTTTCCAACAGAAGGAAACAGAGAAAGAGACACACTCTCTTCTGAGACTAAGACTAAACAACCCAGGTTTCTGGCTCCGTCTTATGGCTTTTTGAGAAACCACACCCAATTGCATGCTCTTGCATTCCCTCAAAGATATAATACTAAAATGTTTATCCTGGTTTATATATTTCTAACCCAAATACCTGTTAGGTGACTTATATGCCTAATAGCTATATAACAGGCTGGCATCCTAAACAGATGCAATCTTGCCTCTTGTATTGTGTGGCATGTCTTGCTTCTCTTTCACCTATTTATCTCATCATCTAAAAGGAGAACTGGCTTGTTTTCAAATTTAAAAGATGGCACTTATTGAGCGATCACAGCTTGGTTTCTCAAAGCCAAAGTTGGTGGGATAAAGCATTTGCCAAAACAGCAGTAAACTATCCAGAGTTGCTATTTGAATGCAGTTGATACTTTGCCCAGATTTGTATTACGTTTTTGGCTTTTTAAGGCAATTGCTTTGACTTTCAGGAAATGTCTCATGTGTATCTTTTGCATAACCATGCTTATGAGATTTTTTTTTAAAAAAAAAGAAATATGTTTTCTATATTTAGCTGGTTTGAGACCTCTGGAGACAACTGCTGAATCTGAGCTAGGAGTACCCATCCAGTAGTAAATTTGATTAAATTGTGGGATTTAAAAATAATATTTTGTAATTTCTATACACACACGCACACATGTATGTATAAATTTTTTGAACTGTGGAAGTTGGCATCCAGATACAGCCTAACTTTTGCAAGCCTCATAGCTTGCAATATCTCATGCCAAATCTAACGGTGAGATAGAAATATATTAAATAAACAACAGAAACTTATTTGGGTTTGAACTTAGGGACACAAAAGGGTTTCACATGGTTGTGGGTATCTGTTCTCCTAACCTCTCTGCCATGATTTAATTAGACGCAGCATCCAATTTATACATGAATGCTACTTTTAGCTGAGCAGGGCAACCTTTTACAAGGAGTCCTTGATACTCATGTGAAAAGCAGTCATTAGTGCTCTGCCCTAGGCTTCCCAAAATCACCAAGCAAACTCCTTGGCCCTTTTTATTAGGCTAATGTGAATTCCTATCATTCATATCCAGCAAAGTCTCGGCAAACAGCCTTTCAAGAGTGAATTACAACCACAGACCTCATCAGGCTTAGAGAGTTGCCAAGCCTATAGATTCCAAGTGCAACGCTGTACAAGAAAATACTTGGCAAGGAGTCTCTGAGAGTCACAAATGAATCTTCATACTAATTAAATGATCTAATTGTCTCCTGCAAACACCACTCCCCTTTCACTCCTCCTTATTCCCTATGGGAGGGGCCATTCAGCGTCCACCTGTGCCTTTACTCCCAAGTTGACTCTTGTTCCTTAACTGGTCCCTTCTCCTGGCAGCTCTGTGCATGCGCACATTGGGAATAGGCTCCAGATGTTCCTCTGCCCCACTGATCTCCGACTCTGAAGGCAGCTGATAACTGTCGGATGGCCCTGGCCCCATCTCTGCCTCTGACACAGAGCACTCATCAGAGCCTTCCCCAAATTCCAGGACTGGCCCATGTTCTTCCCCAACCTTCTCACTCTCCGAGTTTTCTGCCAGCTCCATTGGCTGCTGGTGGGCCACAACAATTAAGTCCCTTTTTCAGCGCTATTGTAACTTCAAACTGTCACTAAAAACATGATTGTGAGGTCCACCTGTATTCAATGTAGGAGATAACCAGGCTGAGCCCGAAGGAGGGGTCAAAGGCATCATAAGTCACAAGTTCTTTTGTGCCCGCAAGAGATCTAAGTTCAGCCCATCTTGAATGCCTTCTTATCTCCTGCTCATTTCCCTTGACCGTTAGTTGGCCACATTCTTGCAGAGAGTTCAATCTTGCAATAAATCTTTACACTCATTTCAACTGCCTGAATCTCCTGATTTCCCCGGCGTTTGATTGTCTCATTTCTAAGCTTTATAATCAATTTTCTTCTATGTGAGTTGATGCAAAACAATCATTATGTGACTTATTTTGGCATAGTGTATGCGTGAAAGTACACTGTATGTTAATAGTCATTGTACTGTGTAAACCATGATTTCAATTTTAATATTATGAATAAACCAGATCTTACGGTTTGTCCACAAACCATATTGGAAATTAACTATGGCTTTACAGAATATGTCAATTTCTGTAGCATCCTTTATGATAACAGAAGCCTGCCCTTGACCTTCCTCTGAAAAATTGCCTGTTTCTTGGCTGTTCTTTGTTTCATATTTACAGGTTTATATAACATGGATCAGTCTCAACCTTGGCAGCTTGAAAATGTATGGACTTCAACTCCCAAGATTCCTCACCAATCTTGATGGCTGGGGAATCCTGGGAGTTGAAGTCCACACATCTTCAAGTTGAAACACTGCTACATATGGTTTTTAACTGAGGTGAACGGCAGCATGTAAGCAACCTTGGATGAATGCATTTCCACTTTCCCTGTCTTTCTCTGTTTCTATATTCTTTGCAAAGTTTAAAAATTCCCAAACAGGAGGTCTAGAATTCAAAAGAAATGACTGAATATTCATGGATTTTATACGTCTATTATCAAATGTGGAAGGCAACTGGTTAGGAGGAAATAATTGGATTACAAATTACAGCTGTGCTTTTTTACACATTGATTGGAAGCATTCAAGCAAATGAGATAAGCAGATGGGCTGGAAAATTTGCCAGGATAGGCAGAACACCTCATAAATTGGAGGTTGGGCTATTTCACTCAGCAGGATAAAACCAGAGTTGCATATTGTGAGGCTACGGAGCCTGTGAGATCTTGAAGATTTGGGAGCAACTGCACAGCCCCTCCAAAACTTAACATAAAGGTGTAATTTTAATGTAAAATACACAAAGCACGCCTGTTCAAGTCAAGGGTATCTCTCAGTGATTTCCCAGACACAGTCCATGCAATTTCCTTGGACGAAACATGGAAATAACTTCAAAATTGTATCCTTCCAGATTGTTTTCAATAGGCCAATTTACAAATTTCCTACTGGTGTCACACCTGTATTAGCCAAACCCAGCTTTGCTCTATTTCTGAGCCCAGAAAAGACAACCAGGGACTTCCCCACTACTGAGGCTAAATGCCCTGGGAGTGGTCATATTTTCTTTGAAAAAAAAAGTTGAAGCTGATATTTAAAATACACGAAATAAACACAACCAGTTATTTATTTCTTATATATTTTTTTAATCCTTCCTTTATTACTTTATAAGCAACTCATGGTGGCGAATACATCTAATACTCCTTCCTCCTATTTTTGCTGCCACAACAACAACCTGGTGTGGTGGGTTGGGCTGCTGCGTGAGAGGGACTGGGCCACAGTCTATTCGCAGACTTTCTGGCGTAAGGCAGGACCAGAACTCATTGTCTCCTTGTGACTGGCTCAAAGTCACCCAGCTGGATTTCATATCTAAGGAGAGACTAGAACTTCCCATCTCCTGGTGATTGGCTCAAGTCACTCAACCGGACTTCATGTCTAAAGTAAGACTAAAACTCACTGTGTCCTGGTTTCTAGGCCAGCACCTTAACCACTAGACCAAACTGCTTCTTATTTACATTTGACCTCACTCTACCCATGTTTTGGAGTATCTCCTCTTGCACTCTATTCAGAGCAGTTCCTGGTTAAAAAAAAAAAGATTATGCTGAATATACGACAGCATCCTTTGCTACAATGCCAATATTACGTATCAAAATGTTCTATTAATGCCATTTTTATAATTAATTTCAGGGTACTAACAAGGACACCAAAAAGCATCGAATTTTGAAAACCTAGGATCCCAAATCGCTGTTTTAGAAAATTAAATGCTGTCTTTTCACTCAATTTTTCCATTAAATCTACTGCTGGCAATATTCCATCCATTCTTTTAATTGCAATGCAACCACTGTTTGCTTTTTCTTATTTAAAAGTTAAAAAGAAAATACAGAAAGGTGGAATATATTTGTTCAAGGACTTACCCAGATCTGCTGTCGAAGGGATGGTTTTGGCTGCTGAAGTTTTATACCTCGATCCTCCAGCTGTTCGGGATGCACTTGCTCGACATACGGTAACGGCACTGATGCCATCACTTTTGTGGCCCATGAGAGCATTGGTTGGATACAAGAATTTTGCATAGGACACCACCTGAAAGACAGTTCCACAACCATCAGCAACAGATGCCCCATGATTTCGGCAACTATCTTTGGTACCCAAGCAATGTGTTTTCTTGGAAGAGGAATTTCCTGGGAACAATTCTGCCAGTAGGAATTTCATTTCCCAACTTTGGTTGCCACGATATAATAAAGATGCTGAGACTCTAAAACAGGGCTCTTCAAACTTGATGGCTTTAAGACTTGTGGACTTCCTCCTCCAGGCATGTTAGCTCAGGAATTCTGGGACTGATGTCCACAAGTCTTAAACTTGCCAGGTTCTGTTCTGTTCTGTTGCGTTCCATTCCATTCCATTGCACTTCACTCCATGTTTTCTATTCTATTCTATTCTATTCTATTCTATTCTATTCTATTCTATTCTA